CAAATATGTGGTGGTATTGCGGGGGACTATTGCTGGGTACTCTGCCAAGTAACTGGAATGGCACTTACACTCTAATTCAATTGGTTATCCCTTTCACCTTGGCATTTCATCAACCAAGAAAGTTGAAAACAGAATATCGTAAAAAGGGAGATGTCTCACGGATCTTTTGATCCTCATGTTTATATAGATGCTATTGGAATATCACGAGGGGTACCATATGAATTGAAAGCCTGAAATCAAATAGCTGCAGGATTCAAGTCTATATTGTTCTGGTGGTCAACTGCAAACAAGAATGTAGCTTAGATAAATTATATCTTTTATAATCAACAACACTGTGTTAATTATACTAGAGATGCTATTAAAGGAATAGTTGAACAATTAGGCCCTACCAGCCAAATGGCCTGGGAAAATAGAATAGCCCTTGACATGATATTAGCTAAAAAAGGCGGGATTTTTGTCATGATTGGAGTCCAATGTTGTACTTTTATTCCTAATAACACCGCCCCCAATGGAACAATAACAAAAGCCTTACAAGGCCTTACCTCCTTATCAAATGAGTTAGCTAAAAATTCTGGAATAAATGACCCCTTTACAAGCCTCATGGAAAAATGGTTTGAGAAATGGAAAGGAATTATGACCTCAATATTCACCTCCCTTGTAATCGTTCTATGTGTATTCTTGTATCATATTTTGTATTCGTGGCTTAGTGCAAAGACTTATAGAAAGACCTTCACCAGAACCTCCCTCAGTTCACCCCTGCCTTATTCAGATAAACTCTTCCTTCTAGACGCCCAAGAAGAACAATAGAGCCAAGATACACTGAGGTGTTTTGAAGAGGAAAAACTATAAAATCAAGAGGAGGAAACTGTGAGAGATGATCAATTCCTCTTCAAAAGGTCTTAATTCCCTGTTCTTGTGGTTCTTTCTCTAGTTTCTATAGTTACCCATGTGGTAAATATTCCTTCCCACCTTTCCCACACCCTGACATACCCTGACAAGCCTAGACATGCCTTGCACCACAATGGATAGCCTTCCCCTTCCCATCTAGATAGCTGTGTTCAATTTCAAACATTAGCCAATCCAGTCAGTTTAGACTGTGCAGTCCAACTCCAGCCAATGGAGAAAGGACACAGCAGTAGGAACCAACTACATTAGGGATTAAAAAACCCCTGTCCTGCTGCAGGTGTTCATCCCACAGACCCTGACCCAAAAACAGATTAATAACATACCCTGACACAGGTATTATGCTTGTCAGTCCAGCTGACAGTCCAGCCCACTTACAGACTCCCAGGAGAGTGCTGTAAAGATTTGCAACCATGGCCCTGACTCACTGGCCCTCCCAGCATTTATACACCACATATTAAATGACAAAAGTCTCAAGTAAACACCACTAGAAGGTAATTACTGTTGCCTACCCTCCATCCCCCACAGTAGAGAGCAATCATGCACCTGCAGATGGTCAAAGGTTTGTCTTAGGACTGATGGTCAAAGGTTTGTCTTAGGACCACATGAATAAACAAGCTATTTGGATAGACCCCTCTACATTCCTATGTTAATTACCCTTGCTATAACTCAAAGAGGATTAGGCTGCCTTCAGCCATAACTCTATCCTGAGGCTTTTGCAAAAACCTTCCAGCTTTCCAAGAAGGTTTGTGTTTATTTTACAATCTTTCCCATCATCCTGACTGATACCCTGCATCTCCCCCTTTTCTGTTTTCTGTATCTTATTGATTGGAGAGTGCAGATATATGCAGCAACAGGTTTGTCAGGTGTGGCGGTCATTGCTCTTACTCCGGCTTTGCATCCTAGAATTAGTAAATAACATAAGACCATCATGAGTATAATTAGCAACATTCTTTTCCAGTCAAAGAGTGACCCCCAGGAGTGGGTGTCAAACCAGTAGAGATGATCTTGCACACCCTTCAATATGGCTGTTTGTTAGGTGTGTAGATCTAAAGTGTGAAGGGATTCTAAAATTTTAGTTTTAAGTTGCTTTACATCTACTGTTAAATTGTTATGAAAGGTTCCCCAGAGATGTTGTTTCACCTCATCCCAACTATGTGTTGATTGATTTCCATGGTAGAGAAGTGACACAGATACGTTTATGCTCCCAGTTGCAGTTTAATCGCTGTTGGAATGCCAGTGCATCTTGTTGCTCCCCCACGTATTCCAAAGCAGCCTTGAGGGATTGCAGACACGCAAGAATTTTTTAATCTATACCCTGCTGTAAGAGAAGTTCATTAGACACATTTTTGGCCAGATTATCTACAAAGACATCTGTTTGTACTGATTCAGTAATAGATGCCACAGCAACAACAGCAGTTGCCAGGATGACTGTGGCTGAGACTGTAAAGGCCATAAATGTAACCATGAATCTTTTGTGTCTGAATTGGGACAAGTCACGTTCTAAGGTGGCAAGGGCAGAGGAACCCTGCCAAGCACATCTCAAATTGACTGGTAGGAATGCCTCAGATTGTCTCCTTAATACCATGACACTAGTAATATTTAGATTGGATATATTGTAATTAGTGATACATGAGGCAAACCAAGCCTGTCCCTGCACCTGGGTCACAAACGTCGAGTTTTGGAGTGTAATAGAAATATTGGTTCCCATAAGGAAAACATATGGATGGGTAGTGCAAATCAGGCACTGATCAGTGTGATTATGAATAAAGGTTATAGTATAGTTGTTACTGGAATTATGATATGTTCCATGCCAGGTGTCAAGGGAGGTGCCAAAATGTCCCAGGCATCATAAAGTGTCTTGGATTTTACTTGGCATCTGGGATATCCCATCCCCAAATTGGCCCAAATCATAGGGGAACAGGACGTGACTATGAAACTGTGATTGATGCCATGACAGATGAGGACATTAGTAAGGCTGCCCTGCAAATGGCCATGGGGGCTCCAGTCTAAGATGCTATAATTGCCTAACTGGAGGCTATGTGCTTGTCCCCCATGACAGACCTCCCAGCTAAAGTGAAATCCATTACTTTCCTGGCTTTTTCCTTTAGCACAGAAAGGAATGTTTGGGAAAGCGGCATTGATTGCATTACCTGGTTTGAGGCTACCTGCAGCTAAGGCTGTTAAGGCATTTCCTTTGCCATGATGTAGCCAAAAATTGTGTTTGGGCAGATACATAGTAAGGGTTAGAACTTTTATAGCTTACACACAGTGGGAGGATAGTGGAGTGATATGTAGTGTTATCTGGCACCTTAGTCCAATGTGTGCCATTATTGAGGGATCCCAATGGGGGACTCTATCCCTCCCAGACAAGCAGTCATGTTATTATAGGCTGGGAAGGGGGTGTCTGCCCAGGTGACAGGGCAAAAGAAAGATGGATCTAAGATACGAGCCCAATAGAGTGTAGCAGGTACAGGTTGCAGATAAAGAAAGAGCATAAAAAGGATCAATACCCTACATGAGTTGCAATGTACAACAGAAAGCATAGCAAGGAACAAATTATCTAGAGTAAATGGTGTCTGTGTCTGGAGCACAATTCATTCAGCCTCCTGAGTTGTCCTCTTCAGCATCTCCCAGGTAATGTCCGAGGCTTGTGTTGTCTGCAGAAGCCACATTGTCTGGGGCTGCGGGTCCTGTGGGGTCTGTTCCTTCATCTCTGGTACCAGGTTGGGTCCTAGCCACGCCACTGAGAGGTGACAATATACTAGCAGCCCTCGCTCTCGGCACCTCCTCAGCCTCGGCATCCACTCTGGTGGCACTTGAGGAGCCCTTCAGCCTGCCACGGCACTGTGGGAGCCCCTCTCTGGGATGGCCGAGGCCAGAACTGCCTCCCTCTGCTTGTGGTGATGTGTGAAGGGAGAGGCATGGGCAGGAACTGGGGCTGCACGTGGTGCTTGCGGGCCAGCGTGAGTTCTGGCAGGTGCGGGAGCGGGCTTGGCGGGCCCCACACACAGAGTGACCGGCTGGCGTCACTGGCCCAGGGCAGTGAGGGGCTTAGCACCCAGGCCATCAGCTGTGGAGGTTGCACCAGGTACCCCAGCACTACCAGCCCACACGCACGGTGCTTGAATTCTTGCAGGGCCTCAGTTGCCTCCCCGGGGGTCAGGGCTCAGGACCTGCAGCCTGCCATGTCTGAGCCCCATCCACCGCGGTGGGCTCCTGCGCGGCCCAAGGCCCCCTGATGAGCACCGTCCCCTGCTCTGCGGTGCCCGGTCTTATCAACTGCCCAAGGTCTGAGAAGTGCGGGCACATGGTGCAGGACTGGTGGGCAGCTTGGCCTGCAGCCCAGTGCGGGATACACTAGGTGAAGCCAGCTTAGCTCCTGAGTCTAGCAGGGACTTGGAGAACCTTTATGTCTAGCTAAGAGATTGTAAACACACCAATCAGCACTCTGTGTCTAGCTCAAGGTTTGTAAATACACCAATCAGTACTCTGTATCTAGCTCACGGTTTGTAAATACACCAATCGGTACTCTGTATCTAGCTAACCTAGTGGGGACTTGGAGAACTTTTCTGTCTAGCACTATGTGTCTAGCTAAAGGTTTGTAAAAGCACCAATCAGCACTCTGTCAAAAGGGACCAATCAGCTCTCTGTAAAACAGACCAATCAGCTCTCTGTAAAATGGACCAATCAGCAGAATGTGGGTGGGGTCAGATAAGGAAATAAAAGCAGGCTGCCCGAGCCAGCAGTGGCAACCCGCTCAGGTGCCCTTCCACACTGTGGAAGCTTTGTTCTTTTGCTCTTTGCAATAAATCTTGCTGCTGCTCACTCTTTGTGTCCACGCTGCCTTTATGAGCTGTAACACTCATCGTGAAGGTCTGCAGCTTCACTCCTGAAGCCAGCAAGACCACAAACCCACCGGGAAGAACAAACAACTCCAGACGTGCTGCCTTTAAGAGCTGTAACACTCACCGTGAAGGTCTACAGCTTCACTCCTGTCAGCGAGACCACGAACCCACCAGAAGGAAGAAGCTCCAGAAACATCTGAATGTCTGAAGGAACCAACTCTGGACACACCATCTTTAAGAACTGTAACACTCACTGCGGGGGTCCATGGCTTCATTCTTGAAGTCAGTGAGACCAAGAACCCACCAATTCCGGACACACCATGGTATGGTTTGATGCATCATGCTGGAATCTAAAGAGGACCTGAGGAGGTGTGAACACAAGCATATCCTCTACTTTACTAATTTACTTGGACCACACCATATATTACTGTTCACATCTTTCCATAAAACTACAGGTTTTATGCCTCGAGAGGTTTTAGCGAAGTGCTTTTCTACAGCTGATTGAAATTTGTCATCTAAATTTAGAAAATGTAGGGTAAATAAGGCTTGTGCCAATAGTGTTGCAGGGTCTTTACCCATACTCGCCCTTTTCTGTTTTTTGAGCACATTTTTAAGGGTGGAGTGGGCACGTTCTACTATGGCTTGTCTTTGGGGGTTATGTGGGATGCCTGTGTAATGATAGATATTCTACATGTGACAAAATTGTTGAAATTGTGAGCTGGCATAAGCTGGACTGTTATCAGTTTTAATTTTTGAGGACTGCCTCATAAATGCAAAAGTTAAAAGAAGATGTTTAATGACATATCGGGTTGATTCTCCAGGAAGGGTGTGTGCACTAATTAGATGAGTGTTGGTATCAATGAATACATGTACATATCTAAGTTTTCCAAATTCAGGAATGTGTGTAACATCTGTTTGCCATAACTGATTAGGTTCTAGTCCTCTAGGGTTAACACCTGTGGAAGGAGGGGATGTGCCTGTGAGCTGGCAATCTGGGCACTGTAGGATAATTTCTTTAGCCAGTCTCTGTGTAAGCTGAAATTGCTTAGATAAGTTTCTCCAATTTTTGTGGAAAAATTGATGCAATTGGGTCGCTTGGTTAAGCAGTGATGTCATAACCTGAAGGTCTGCTTTTCCATTTCTATAAGCCAATGGGCCAGGCAGAGAGCTGTGGGCTCAAATGTGTGTGATAAAAATAGGATGTGTATGTTGATCTAGCAATTGCTCAAGTCAGAAAAAAAGAGCACATAGGGTGGGCTCAAGAGTGGGCTCAATTAGGGCTGTTTCAAGGTTCTGCAATAAATAAACAGAGTAAGCCAAGTCACTCACAATATTGATGGGCTGAGTGGAAAAAGTTTCCAAGGCCAATATCAGGACCCCAGTCTCAGCTCTCTGAATGCTAGTAAACCCAGATCAAGTGATTGAATTATGTGGTCTCCACCAGACTGCTGCTTTTCCATGTTTACCACAACCATCAGTAAACAGTGTTAAAGCATTAGATATGGGGGAGTGAACTATTTTTGTGGGCAAGATTACTGGAGTATGAGATAAGAAATGAAGGAGTTTATCAGCAGGGAGGACATACTGTGTTTATCCTGTGTAATCAGAGAAAACTATTTGCAGATCAATAGATACTGGCAATACTGCTTCAAATTGCTTTTTACTTAAAGAAATCCTGATGACAACAGGGTCATAACCTAACAACGGATTGCATTGTTTGTGACCTGAATAGATGACTTTAGTAATTAACTGAATATAGGGAGATAGTGTTTTAGTTCTGGTATGTGAGCAAAAAACTCATTCTAGGAAGCGAAGCCTGGGGGCCATCTGTCCTATTAACCCTGTAGGGGAGTGTTTAGTGGGAAAAATAAACAATTGAATTGAATACCATGGATCAATGCGATCTAGCTGCCTCTGAGAGATGGCTTGCTCTATGTCCTTGATTTCACTTTTTGCTGCAGGGGTTAAATATCTGGGAGAATCCAGGGCTGGATTGCCCTTTAAGACAGAGAACAGATTTTGCAGTTTATTATTAGAATTTGTAATTTCTCTCCCTTTAAACTTTACTGCTCTACTTACATTGGATTTTGAGAGAGCCATGTCAGGGGTAAGAGAGTGATAACAGCAGTGGTTATTATTAGAAAAGGGGTCTTTCAAATTCTTAAATTGTACTTAAATTTTAGCAGGGAATTATACTTTGGGATGTCGCTTGCATACAAGGAACACATGAAATTTTGCTCTGGGTGGCCCGCAGAGCCAGAGAGCTGAGCAGGCAGGCCCCAGGGTGACAGCCGCTTTGCATTTGCTTAGGTGCTGCTGTTTTTTGTGCCACTTCTCTCCATGCCACTTTTTCTGTGTGTGCCACTCCTTCCCCCCACCACCAGGCAGCTGCTGTCAGCCAGGCGGATCTTCCTGTGCACACTTCCTGCCCCTCCCTAGCAGGCCAGCTCCAGCGCGCTGGGCCTGGCTTCCTGTCGCTGCCCCCATGCAAGCCAAGTTCCTGGGAGCACTTGCTGGCTCCAGGTCCACGAGCTTCCCCACCACTGAGCTTTCCCTTTTGCCTACCACTTGCTTGGCCACGCAGCTCTGGCTTCTAATGCCTTTTCTGAACTTTTTTATAAGCGTTAAAAGAAATGGGTTTGTATACTTGATTGCCTGGCTGATCTTGCATTACCAGGCAGGCTAAGTGCTCCCTTTCTAATGCTGCCTGCCTGAGACAGGGTCTCATAGCTGTGGTGTATCTCCTGTCCTTTTTCCTATCTATTGGAGGAGGAGGAGGCTTAGGTAAAACCTCTGTTTCCTCTTTGTTGTTTTGGCCCAGTGATATCAGGGCCGAGGGAAGAGGAGGCGGTAAGGCAGGTGACATTTCTTTCTCCTTCCCCTTTTTAGGCTCTTCTGTGTATAATGGAGCCAGGGTTGCCTTAATTAAAGCCCATAGTGTTAGAGCTATTACTGAGACCTGTTGCCCTTGTGCATAATTTTGTTTAAGATTTCTCCCCACTTGTTCCCAGAGCTCTATGTCTAGCGTGCCTTTTCTAGTGAACCATGGGTTTGGGATTCAACAGTTTGCATTAGGTCCCTTAATTGAGCCTGCAAAACCAAGGCTCTGCTAGCTTTAAGCAGCTGTTTCAATACTTTTATATACTGTTTCTGCTGAGCTGATAACTATTGTCCCATGATGAAACCTCAGCCTGAACAATCCCCCTGAACTTGGAAATCCTGAGTGGGCACCAATGACTTACTGATTATTCAGTAACCATGTGGTCCTTTTTTACCTTCATTTTCAGGGGGTCCTTCGTGCTTCCTTTGTAGTGATCCTCACACAGGGTACCAGCTGCGGGGGTCCATCCTGCAGACCCTGACCCAACAACAGATGAATAAATACACTGACACAGATATTATGCTGAGAGTCCAGGCCATTTACAAACTCCTGAGAGAGTGTTGTAAAGACTTGCAACCATGGCCCCTACTCCCTGGCCCTCCTGGCATTTATTTGGCACACATTAAATGACAAAAGTCTCAAGTAAACACCACTAGAAGGTAATTACCGTCACCGATCCCCCCCCTCCCCCGAGTGGAGAGCAATCATGTACCTGCAGATGGTCAAAGGTTAGTCTTAGGACCACATGAGTAAACAAGCTATTTAGATAGACTCCTCTACATTCCTATGTTAATTACCCTTGCTATAGCTCAAGGAGGATTAGGCTGCCTTCAGCCATAACTCTATGCTGAGGCTTTTGCAAAAACCTTCCAGCTTTCCAAGAAGATTTGTGTTTATTTTACAATTTTTCCCACCATCTTGACTGAACCCCTACACCCTACCCCACTCGGTGTACTCTTATGATCATGACTGGTGCAAGCTGCACCCTTCTGCAGAAATAAATTTGCCTTGCTGAGAAAATTTCTGTTCGAGTGCTATTTCTTTGGCGGCACTGAAACTTGTTTCCAACGTGAGTGCTGTAGGTGTAAGGAGAAATTAACGCCAGCTGGTTGTTAATCTTTAGCCAAGACAAACCCCAATTCAGTTACTTACCTAGGGGTGGGATAGTAGATAGGACTGCTATCTACTATCCTAGAAGCAGGGGAAAAAAACTCATCTTCCCTGCTGGAATCAAACCCAAACTCCGTAAAGGAGTTACCTGCCTTCCATCATCATGTAAGCAGGAAAAACTTGCCTTCCTTGTATTGGAAGCAAGTAAAACTCAAAAAAAAAAAAAAAAAAAAAAAAAGGGAGATCAGGGATTCTCTGGAGGGGGTGCTTTCAGACCTCAGCAAATTATCCTATTGGTTTGAGCCATAAAGTTAGCTCATGCTAACTTTGATTTAAAGCTTGTCAAAGGTTGAGGTATCTCCACTCAGAAACCCCTTCTGGGCACTTTGGGAGGCTGAGGCGGGTGGATCACGAGGTCAGGAGTTCAAGACCAGTCTAGCCAAGATGATGAAACCCTGTCTCTACTAAAAATACAAAAATTAGCTGGACATGGTGGCACACTTCTGTCATCGCAGCTACTCGGGAGGCTGAGGCAGGAGAATTGCCTGAACCCAGGAGGCAGAGGTTGCAGTGAGCTGAGATCACACCACTGCACTCCAACTTGGGCAACAGAGCGGAACTCTTGTCTCCAAAAAAAAAAAAAGGAAAGAAAGAAAGCTTACTTTGTCAAGGTCAAGGATGTTCACCCATGACACAGTCTCAAGAAGTCCTGACAACATGTGCCCAAAGTGTTTGTGGCACAGGTTGGTTTTATACATTTTAGGGAGACATGAGACATCAATCAATACATGTAAGAAGTACATTAGTTCATTCTGGAAAGGCTGGACAACTCGAAGTGAAGGCAGAAGACCTGAAGCAGGAGGGGGCTTCCAGGTCACAGGTAAGTGAGAGACAAACAGTTGCATTCTTCCGAGTTTCTGATTAGCCTTTCCGAAGGAGGCAATCAGATATGCATCTATCTCAGTGAACAGAGGGATAACTGAATAGAGTGGGAGGCAGGTTTGCTCTAAGCAGTTCCCAGCTGCTTTTTCCCTTTAGCTTAGTGTTTGGAGGCCCAAGATATTTTCCTCTCACAATGCCAAAATAAAGTTTGCTGAAGAAGAAAAGGGGAAAGTAGGAAGTAGAGAAGGAAGAGGAGGAGGAGAAAGAGGGACAGGGAGGACAAAGAAGAAAGTAGCTGTTGGTAGCCATCTTAAAACCACCCTGGAAAAGGCTGTCTCAGGATAGAGTGAAACCAGAAGAAACAGAGCTAAGAGGTGGACCCACATGACTTTGTCTGAGCACTACTTTAAGCTTTAAATCTCCTAAACTTTCCAGCTTATATGAGTCACATTATCCTTTCTTACAAGACTTGGTTGTGAAATACATATTTTACTAGATTCCAGCTGGAAGCAACTACATTTATTTTGCTTTCTTTCTTCCATTTTTTTTTTTGTTGTTGTTGTTTGTTTTTACTCCTAAATGAATACTGAAACTACCCAACAGAGGTCTAAGAAGCTACACACTTGGTGACAAAATATAAAGAATTAAAGAAAGGAAGAGAAGGGCAGAAATTAGAGAAACACAACCACCAAGAGTTACTTGGGCAATTTAATAACAACAATAACAACAAAAACAACCTGATTGAAAAATGGGCAAAGCCAGCCGGGTGCGGTGGCTCATGCCTGTAATCCCAGCACTTTGGGAGGCCAAGGTGGGTGGATCACCTGAGGTAAGGAGTTCAAGGCCAATCTGGCCAACATCGTGAAACTCCATCTCTACTAAAAATACAAAAATTAGCTGGTGTGGTGGCATGCACCTGTAATCCCAGCTACTTGGGAGGCTGAGGCAGGAGAATTGCTTGATCCCCAGAGACTGAAGTTGCAGTGAGCTGAGATTGTGCCACTGCACTCTGACCTGGGCAACAGAGTGAGACTCCATATCAAAAAAATAAAAAAATAAAATATTTTAAAAAGGAAGGAAATTCTGACACAAGCTACAAAGATGAACTTTAAGGATATTCTGTTAAGTGAAATAAATCAATCACAAAATGATAAATATGATATGAGTCTACTTACATGAGGTACCTACAGTAGCCAAATTCCCAGAGACAAAAAGTAGAAAAGTGGTTGCCAGGGGGTTGGAGAGGAGAGAATGGGGAATTAGTGTTTAGTAGGTTACAGAGTCTCCGTTTTGCAAGAAAAAAGAATTCTGAGGGGGGATGGTGGTGATGGTGATGTTAATGAACCTAATGCCACTGAATTGCAAATTTAAAAATGATTAAGATGGTACATTTTGTTATGTGTATTTTACTGTAAGTGTAGATAAAAGAGTTACGTGGACAAAAGTACTTGCCGTAAGACAGACTGAACAACTTACATCGCTTGGCTGGAGAACAGCTAGAGTAAACAAATACATCACGAAAGTAAATGAAAAATGTATAAATCCTGGGGGGAAATTTTTTTTAACTTTAAGACTTATGCAAATTTCTGCAAATAAATAAACAAAACTCTAAGAGAAAATCAGGCCAGGCGCAGTGGCTCATTTTTGTAAACCCAGCACTTTGGGAGGACGGGGCAGGCAGATCACTTGAGCTCAGGAGCTCAAGACCAGCCTGGGCAACATAATGAGACCCTGTCTCAAAAAAAAAAAAAAAGACAGAGAGAGAAAGAGAGAAGAAAGAAAGAAAGAAAGAAAGAAAGAAAGGAAAGAAAGAAAGAAAGAAAGAAAGAAAAAGAAAGAAAGAAAGGAAACAAAGAAAGAAAGAAAGAAAGAAAGAAAGAAAGAAAGAAAGAAAGAAAGAAAGAAAAGAAAAAGAAAGAAAGGAAGAAAGAAAGAAGGAAGGAAGGAAAGAAAGAAAGAAAGAAAGAAAGAAAGAAAGAAAGAAAGAAAGAAAGAAAGAAAGAAAGAAAGAAAGAAAGAAAGAAAGAAAGACAAGCAAACCAATATAAAGCCAGCTTTGGGATCTACTACCCGTGTTGGTGCTTCTTAAACTGGAGAATGCACGTCTCCCAAAAATATGTCCAGAGAACCCACCCCACTCCCTGTGCCCTGGGATCTGTTGACCTCATTTTAACAAATATTGCACCTAATGCCAAAATAACACAATTACCCTGCATTTGTGATTTTTACTTTGGTTGAATTATTTTATGTTATAAAGGTATGTTATATATTTAGTAATAATACATAGCCAGAAGTTTTATAGATTATCTTTAATTCCTTGAGATAGTGTTTTCCCAACCTGAAGACTCTTAGCTGCCCAAGAATATCATTACAGAAACCAGTTTGAGAAGCATTGTACTACACAGAAGTTGTCTAAAGATCCTAAGATTTAATAATCTGGCAACAGAAGTTTCTGGTTTGAGCTCAATTGACTCCTAAAGAAAGTTGGGAGCTGGGCATGGTAGCTCACGCCTGTAATCCCAGCACTTTAGGAGGGTGAGGCAGGCAGATCACTTGAAGTCAGGAGTTTCAGACCAGCCTGGGCAACATGGTGAAACCCATCTCCACCAAAAATACAAACATTAGCTAGGTGTGGTAGCACACACCTGTGATCCCAGCAACTCAGGAAGCTGAGGTGGGAGGATGGCTTGAGCCCGGAAGGTGGAGGTTGCAGTGAGCTGAGATCTTGCCACTGCACTCCAGTGCGGGTAACAGAGCAAGACTCCCATCTAAAAAAAAAAGGAAGAAGAAGAAGGAGGAGGAGGAGGAGGACGAGGAGGAGGAGGAGGAGGAGGAGGAGGAGGAGGAGGAGGAGGAAGAAGAAGAAGAAGAAGAAGAAGAAGAAGAAGAAGAAGAAGAAGAAGAAGAAGAAGAAGAAGAAGAAGAAGAAGAAGAAGAAGAAGAAGAAGATTGATAGGAAAATAATGAGGTCTGGATAGGAGTGCAGGAGGCAGGGGCAGGGATCAGGGAAGGGCACAGGTGGCCAGTCAGTCCTGGAGGCAGGATCTGTGGCTTTTAAGGGCCCTTTCTCCAGGGCCTTGCACAAGGCCTGGCACACAGTAGCAGTCAATAAATATCATTGAATGAATGAGGCAAGAAGGAGGAGGAGGACAGATGTTGTGTTTTGTCGTAACCAGAACCTCTGCCTGGATTTGTGTCTAAACTAGACAAAGCTGTGACTTTTCACACAGCCTGGTGTAAGTTTGGTTGACTCCTAAAGAAAGTTGTGGGGACTGAGCGTGGTGGCTTAGGCCTGTAATCTCAGCACTTTGGGAGACTGAGGCGGGCGGGTCATGAGGTCAGGAGATCGAGATCATCCTGGCCAACATGGTGAAACTCTGTCTCTACTAAAACACAAGAAGTTAGCCGGGCATGGTGGCGAGGTGCCTGTAGTCCCCGCTACTAGGGAGGCTGAGGCAGGGGAATTGCTTGAACCCGGGAGGCGGAGATTGTAGCGAGCCAAGATCGTGCCACTGCACTCCAGCCTGGTGACAGAGCGAGACTTCATCTTAAAAAAAAAAAAAAAAAAAAAAGCTGGTGTGCAGTGGCTCACGTCTGTAATCCCAGCACTTTGGGTGACCGAGGCGGGCGGATCACCTGAGGTCGGGAGTTCAAGACCAGCCTGACCAACACGGAGAAAACCTGTCTCTACTAAAAATACAAAATTAGTCAGGCGTGGTGGTGCGTGCCTGTAATCCCAGCTACTCGGGAGGCTGAGGCAGGAGAATCGCTTGAACTGGGGAGGTAGAGGTTGCGGTGAGCCAAGATTGATCCATTGCACTCCAGTCTGGACAACAAGAGCAAAATTCTATCTCAAAAAAATAAAACAAAAAAAGAAAAGAAAGCTGGGGGCCAAGAGTGATGGCTCACCCCTGTAATCTCAGCACTTTGGAAGGCCAGGGCAGGTGGGAACTTGGTTTCTGCTCTAAGTGGTTTGGGGATGTGAATGAAGGGTAGGCAGAGATCTGACTTTAAGGCTTCAGGGAGCATGTGAGATAATTACAAAGTTAAGCAAGGGAAATTAAATTGCTGGCCAAAAATCACAATCCCTTTGCTCCTAAAGTGTAGAAATGCCCTGGTTTGCTAGAGAATTGACTTTTTTGAAACCTCTCTTTTATTTTTATTTATTTATTTCTTAGACAGGGTCTGCTCTGTCACCTAGGCTGGAGTGCAGTGTCTCTATCACAGCACGCTGCAGCCTCCACCTCCAGAGCTCAAGTAATCCTCTCACCTCAGCCTCCCAAGTAGCTGGGACTATAGACATGTGCCACTGTGCCTAGCTAATTTTTTTTTTTTTGAGATGGAGTCTCACTCTGTCGCCCAGGCTGGAATGCAGTGGTGCAATCTCGGCTCACTGAACCTCTGCCTCCTGGGTTCAAGTGATTCTCTTGCCTCAGCCTCCTTAGTAGCTGGGATTACAGGCATGTGCCACCATGTCCGGCTAATTTTTGTATTCTTAGAAGAGACAGGGTTTCACCATGTTGGTCAGGCTGCTCTCGAACTCCTGACTTCATGATCCGCCTGCCTCAGACTCCCAAAGTGCTGAGATTACAGGTATGAGGCACCATGCCTAGAGCCTGGCTAATATTTTTTATTTTTTGTTGAGACAACATCTCACTGTGTCACCCAGGCTGGTTTCGAACTCCTGGCCTCAAGCAGTCCCCCTATCCTGGCCTCCCAAAGTGTTGGGATTACAGGCACGAGTCACTGTGCCTGGCCCAGCTTCTTTTTCAGTATTAAAAAAAAATACTGTGTCAGCCAGGATAGAATGGCCTATGCCACAGTAACAACCAACCCCCAAATTGCAGCGATCACATTTATTTCTTACTTTTGCTACATGTCCAAGGTGGGGCTGCGGGCCATCTTTGCTGCTGCCACCACTCAGGGCCCAGGCTGGCAGCGGTGTCCTCTCAGCAGTGGCTTCCTTGATCATCAGGACGTTGGGAAGGTGAAGATGGTGAATTACACACTGCTTTCCACCTGGAAGGGTCACATGTCATTCCTGCTCAAATTTCATTGACCCAAAAAGAGCTACATAACCCAAATCCTACCAGGTGCCCCAAAGGTAAAGAGCTGCAAATATTTAGTGAACAGCATTTAATGACTACTATGTATTCTCCTTATGGAAAACAAACACACAGAACTAGAATTGCACAAATGAAGACTGAAGGTCTGGATTTGTTCTTCAATTCTATTAGGTTGGTGCAAAAGTAATGGCGGGTTTACCATTTTAATGGCAAAAAGCGCAAAAACCTTTGCACAACCTAATACATATGCAGGAAGTTCTGTCACAAATTATAATTCTACCTACTGGGTTCAAGCGATTCTCCTGCCTCAGCCTCCCGAGTAGCTGGGATTACAGGCGTGTGCCACCAAGCTCAGCTAATTTTGTATTTTTAGTAGAGACAGGGTTTCTCCATGTTGGTCAGGTTGCTCTCGAACTCCTGACCTCAGGTAATCCTCCTGCCTTGGCCTCCCAAAGTGCTGGGATTACAGGTGCGAGCCACCATGCCTGGCCTACAAAGATATCTTGATTGCTCTTCCAATTCAACTTTCCATTTGCAAAAGCCTCTAACATTTCAAAATTCTGAGTTTCTTCTGACCAAATTGGGGTAATTTGAAACAGGTAATGAATGAATCACAGAAAAATAGAGCTGGCAAGGAATACAGGGATTTTCTGATCTAGCCATCTAAGAGAACAGAAAAGGGAAATAAATAAATAAATAAATAAATAAATAAATAAATAGCTCTGAGATCTAGTCTTTCTGGTTAAACAGCTTCCCCATGAGGAAGTTGCAGCACTTAAACTTTTGACTCCTGTAGGGCACAGCAGTGCATGCCTGTAGTCCCAGCTACTCCAGAGGTGGGAGGATCATTTGAGCCCAAGAAGTCCTGGACTGTAGCGCATGATGGCAATTAGGTGTCCGCACTAAGTTCAGCATCAATATGGTGACCTCCTGGGAGCAGGGGACCACCAGGTTGCCTAAGGATGGATGAACCAGTCCAGGCAGAAACTGAACAGGTCAAAACTCCTGTGCTGATCAGTAGTGGGATCGTGACTGTGAATAGGCATTGCACTCTAGCCCGGACAACATAGTGAGATCCTATCTCTAAGAAGAGAGAGAGAGAGAGAAATAAACTTATGACTCCAAGCCAAATTCCCTTTCCTCATAGGCCTCTAATTGATGTTGGAAAATGCCAGGTTCTCTCTACAACTTTCTGTTTCCTACAGTTGCCTTGCCTCCATTTGCTTTTGTCACATCATATTCCTCAACTGTTCTAATTGAAGTTGAGCTGTGGTCATCTATTCTTATAGTAGTAATACTGAACATTACCACCATTTTTATTAAGTGATTCTTACTTGCCACAGCAGTATTGTATTTTCCCCATACAAATATCATGTGTGATAGGTTCAACTATGACTCCCTAAAAAATCTGTTCAAGTCCTAACCCTTAGTGCCTGTGAATGTAACCTTATTTGGAAATAAGGTTTCTGCAGATATAATTACGTTAAGATGAGGACACACTGGATTAGGGTGCGCTCTAAGGTGACTGTCCTTATAATAGGTGAGGACTTGAGTGATGTATGTACAAGCCAAGAAACACCAAGGATGACCAGCAGCCACCAGGAGCTGGAAAAGGTGAGACAGGATGCTTCCCTAGAGGCTTCAAAGAGTATGGCCCTGCTGATGCCTTGATTTTGGACTTCTGGCCTCCAAGACTCCCAGAGAATAAATTTCTGTTGTTTTAAGCCACTGAATTTGTGGAACTTGTTAAGGCAGCCCAAGGAAACCAACACACTCCAAGAGCTGGATATTAATTATTCTCATTTTACAGATGAAGAAACTGGGGTTTATAGAGATTAAAGATTTGCTCGAAGACTTAAGAGCCATGAGAACTAAATCAATGTGTAGGTTTTGTCTGGATCCTATAAAAAAGGCCATTTTTTGAGATAATCAATGAAATTTGAATATGGTTTGGGTAGTGGATGTTATTAATTTATTATAAATCTTATTAATATTATTGTTTTAGATGTTACTAATTATATTTGTTGGTGCAATGTGCAGCGTTATTACATTGTTGTGTGATAATGGCATAGAGATCATATTTTTAAAGGGTTTGGCCAGGCGCAGTGGCTCATGCCTGTAATTCCAGCACTTTGGGAGGCTGAAGTGGGAGGATTGCTTGAGCCCAGGAGTTTGAGACCAGCCTGGGCAACATGGTGAGATGTCAATAAAAAAAAATAATAATAATAATTTAAAAAAAAAAGGAAAAAAAAAAGTAGAATAAAAGGTTTTTACCAGTGAAATTTGCATACTGAAGTATTTGTGGGTGAAATTTCATGACGTCTGGAGCTTGCTTTAAAATGCTCATCCTAGCCAGACACGTTGGCTCACGCCTGTAGTCCAGCACTTTGGGAGGCCAAGGCAGGTGGATCATTTGAGGCCAGGAGTTTGAGACCACCCTCGCCAACATGGTAAAACCTCTGTCTCTACTAAAAATCTAAATAAGTAAATAAAATAAATAAGTAAATAAATAAATCAGCCAGGGGCGGTGGCACACGCCTGTAGTCCCAGCCACTTGGGAGGCTGAGGCAAAGAATCGCTTGAACCTGGGAGGTAGAAGTTGCAGTGAGCCGAGATCACACCACTGCACTCCAGCCTGGGTGACAGCAAGACTATCTAAAGAAAGAAACAAAATAAAATACTCATCCCCAACACCCCCCCGAAAAGTACTGGAGGGAGTGGATAGATGAAACAAAATGGACAAGTTGTTATTAATTGTTGAAGATGGATGACGTATGTGTGTATATAGGGGGTTGTTATAGCATATGTTTTACTAATCTTTCTGTTTATTTAACAACAAAAAAAAACACCTTTCTTTCTGAGAGAATTCAGTCCTGTTGTCCTAGGGCATATTCTGTAATGAATTAACTCCACTCTTATGCATCCTGCAGGGAACTGCAGCATGTGATGCAACATCCTTGGAAGAACTGAGAAAAGTACTCACTCAAATTACCTTCCGTGTGGTTTCTATGGTTTCTCCACACTGGTCGAGAAGGTTCTGAAAACCGCAATCCCGAGGGGAAGTCCAGCTCGAATGGGAAGGCACAGTCGGGCTTAGGAACATGGAGCAACCACCTGCCCTTCTGCTGCCCTGGACAATACGTATTGCACTGTTAGAACTTGGTGGCATTTGCCCAACATCAAATCAGGGCATGAGGGAAGATGAAGGGATGGAAGTGAGCCAGTTGTGGGCATTCTCCTAGACACTTCTCATGCTCCTCTGCTTCTCTTTAGCCCCTAAAGAACTAAGTCTCACCTAGCTCCCCACCCTTCTTCCCTGTCTCTAAAGCAGTGCACATCCTTTTTGAGATTTTCTGACAGTGACTAGGAAACCCAAGGGCAGGTTTTGTAATGGAAAGTGCTGGCTGAGGTTGTGCAGCCCATAGAGACCTGGTTTCCTAATGTGACCCCATGGCTCATTGGCTGTGTGATCTGGGGCAGCTACCAACCTCTCTCAGCTTCAACTGCCTCTCCTGTGAAACAAAGACGGTATTGCCCAACAGGCTGTGGGGAAGACTGAATGAAGCATTATTATATGTTATGTGCCCAGTGAACTGCATGATATACAGCAGATGTTCAATAAGTAAGAGACATGGCCAGGTGCGGTGGCTCACGCCTGTAATCCCAACACTTTGGGAGGCCGAGGCAGGTGGATCACCTGAGGTCAGGAATTCGAGACCAGCCAGGCCAACATGACGAAACTTCATCTCTACTAAAAACAAAAAAATTAGCCAGGCATGGTGGTGCACGCCTGTAATCCCAGCTACTTGGGAGGCTGAGAATCACTTGAATCTGGAAGGCGGAGGTTGCAGTGAGTCAAGATTATGCCACTGCACTCCAGTCAGGGTGACAGCAAGACTGTCAAAAAAAAGAAAGAAAAGAAAAAAAGAGAGAGAGATAAGGGCAAGAAAAGGCTGCAATCACTGCCTCGGCCATGTCCACTGCCATGACCGCTGAAACCTCACAGGATAATTTGATCTTGGATTTTAGATGCTGATAACTGGTTTTTGTAAGGTGAGGTCAGGGCAGAGAAGATACAGGAGAGGGCTGGCATGCTGCTCAAAAGATTCCATAAGGGCTGAGAGCAGGGTTGAAACTGCCTTTGCAAAAATTACAGAGGAAATTATGACAGTGAAACAGATGAGACCTAACCAACTCCATCTTGCTTCTAACCTTTAAGCTGTCCTTGTTCACTCCTGGGTATAGGCTGAACTAACCTTGGGAAGGAATTTAGTTTACAGTTTGAATTTGACTCTGAAACAGAATTGATAACAGCCCTTTCCCCAAAAAGACCCACTTCTTGCCTGGGGACCAGTCTATCTCTGTAGGACTAACAAATTAGCTACAAGATTAGAAATTATGGTTTAGGGGTCATGCAGCCTCTGGCTGTAAGTCTGAACCTCCCCAAATTGCCTCTGGGGATAACCTCACTATTGTAAAACCGAAGATCAGGGCTTGAGATATTTTGCAGACCCTGCACTGGATGGATCAGCTGACACCACCCAGAAGGGTAATCTGGCTCAACCAGTTCTGTCATCCCACCCAGGAACAGAAGACAGCAAGAAAACCTCACTACGACTTCCTGTGATTCCGTCTCCAAACTGGCCAATCAGCACTCCACACTTCCTGAGCCCCCACCCCCCAAATTATCTTTAAAAATTCTCCAAATGCTCAGGGAGTCTAATTTGAGTAATAATAAAACTCTGGTCTCCTGCACAGCCGGCTCTGCACGAATTACTCTTTCTCCATTGCAGTTCTCCTGTCTTGATAAATTGGCTCTGTCTAGGCAGCAGGCAAGGTGAACCTGCTGGGTGGTTACAGGGCTTTGGGTAGGAGAGAGAGAGGAGATGAGAAGGAGAATGCTTGTGGGGGAGGCAAAAGGGGAATTCCTGGGGCAAATCCTGGAGGGAAAGTAAGGGGGAGGTACTCTACAAGGGACATAAGTGAAACTTGAGTCATCTGTAAATGTGAATATCTCCAAATAAACAGAAGAAATGTAAATAGTACTCGCTATGTCCCAAGGCTTATTCTGGATACTTTACAAATATTAACTCCTGCAAACCATCTCAACAACCTGTGACGTAAGAGCTATTATTATCTCCATTTTGCATGTTAATAAACTGAGGCAAAGAGAGGTTAAGCAAGTAACCCAAGATTGCCCAGCTGATAAGGGGTGGAGCTGGGACTCAGGTCAGACGAGCTGGGACTCAGGTCAGACAAGCTTGTTCCAGCATCTCTCCACCAAATCTGGAAATCATCACTCTGTGGCTGAGTGTTGAGAATGGTACAAAGAGTGAAGATTACTGCATTTTGGTGGATCTTTCTTCTCCTGAAAACTGGGTCACCTTAACAGTTCCCTGGGTTTACCTGGCCAGGACACCTTGAGTATCCATTTTTTTCCTCCCTCAGGTCTGGTTCCCAGATCCCTCTTGGCTTGTGCCTTGTCTGCTCCAGATGGGGTATCCTCTCTCTGTGCCAGTGTATCAGCCAGGGGTCCATCCAGAAAAACCCACTCAGAGTGATGTATACTAGGGAGATATGAGAGGACCTAAACAATTTTGGAAGCCGGTTAGCGTAAACTAAAAACAAAATTCTGGGATGGGCAGGGGCTCACACCTGTAATGTCAGCACTTTGGTTTTTGTTGTTGTTGTTGTTGTTGAGATGGAGTCTCGCTCTGTCACCTAGGCTGGAGTGCAGTGGCATGATCTCGGCTAACTGCAACCTCCACCTCCCGAGTTCAAGCAATTCTCCTGCCTCAGCCACCCAAGTAGCTAGAATTACAGGTATGCGCCACCACGTCCATCTAAGTTTTGTATTTTTAGTAGAGACAGGGTTTCACCTTGTTGGCCAAGCTGGTCTCAAACTCCTGACCTCAAGTGATCCACCTGCCTCAGCCTTCATCCCACCACTTTGGAAAGCTGAGGCAGGTAGATTTCTTGAGCCCTGGAATTCAAGACCAACTTGGGCAACATAGCAAAACCCCATCTCAACAAAAAAATTTACGAAGTTAAAAGTATTAATAATAATAATAAATAAAATGCTAAGGTCTGCCAACCATGTGAATGGACCCCTCCTCTCAGCCAGGGCATTCCAAAGTTAACCTGAAAAACTGGTTCAGGCCATGACGGGAAGGGAGGGTTGGACATGCCTCGTTATACCCTCCTCTTTTTTGGATTTCGGCAAAAGCTGACAAGCATTAACATCAACACAGACCTTAAGTCTGATAAGAAAAACTTACGAGCCAGGCATGGTGGCTCATGCCTGTAATCCCAGCACTTTGCGAGGCCGAGGCAGGTGGATCACTTGAGGTCAGGAGTTCAAGACCAGCCTGGTCAACATGGCGAAACCCCATCTCTACTAAAAATACAAAAAATTAGCCAGGTGTGGTGGCACACGCCTGTAATCCCAGCTACTCTGGAGGCAGAGGCAGGAGGATCACTTGAGCCTGGGAGGCAGAGATTGCAGTGAGCTGAGATCTTGCCACTACACTCCAGCCTAGGTGATAGAGTGAGACCTTATCTCAAAAAGAAAAAAAAAGAAACACTTTCAGTGTATTATCTCTGAAGGCTGCTACCTGGAGGTTTCATCCGCATGATAAAACTCTGGTCTCTGCAACCCCCTATCACCATAACCCAGACATTCCTTTCTATTTATTCCAGGCCTTTAGATAATAACTTAATAACTTAACTCTTTCAACCAACTGCCATTCCGAAAATGTTTAAATCTACCTCTCACTTGGGCCCCCCCCCCACTCCCCCTCCTTCCAATTGTCCCACCTTTCCAGACAGAAACAATGTACATCTTGCATGTATTTGATTGATGTCTTATGTCTCCCTAAAATGTATAAAACTAGGCTGTGCCCCAACCACTTTGGGCACATGTTCTCAGGATCTCCTGAGGGCTGTGTCATAGGCCATGGTCACCCTCATTTGGGTCAGGATAAATCTCTTCAAATATTTTATGGAACTTGACTCTTTTTGTTAACATTGAACAGTCTGTAGATGGCTGGTTCTGGGGCCTGAAATCTGCAGGGCAGGTCCTCTGGGGGTGAGGATGAGGATGGATACGAAGTGGAGGAAAGCAAGGATAAACTGGGACCCGTGAGCCCAAAGCTGGAGCCAGAGGACATATTGGAGCCCACATAGGTCTTTTAGAAAGCTTCCAATTTCAAGGAAGTAGGTGTCCTATAGGGAAAGCTAGAGCCCTCCACTATGGAACTAAACATCTGGCACAACTGTCGGAGAAGCTGAAATAGGCTCCAGCAGAGTATGGGGGAACTGTGAGCCAAGGGCTGCCACCAACAAGGTGAGCCAACAGAAAGGCAGCAACGTGAGCGCGTGGTAGCTGGAGCCTGTGCCAGTCAGCTGAGCAGAGGGATACAGCTGCTGTTTCAACTCTGTCTTCCAAATTCCACCCAAGATGTCTCTTGTGGGCCATGCCAGCCTGGAACTATGCAGGGAAGGGGATGCTGGGAGACACTGTTCCAGCTTAGCTCAACTGCTACAAGCCCAAGCCACACTTGGGATGGGACGCCCTGCTCTTGCTGGGGAATTCCCTCCATTCTTTTCCTGGAAGTCAAATTGCTGAAGAAAACAAGCCTCCTGCCCAGGGAATTTCTTTGCTTTAATGTTTGCTTTAATGTTGCTGTTTTAGAGCCACGGTGGATTTATTCCCTGCTGCCAACTTCTAGTATGGACACCTGGGTGGGTGCCTTTGCTTCTCTTCAGAACCACCCACACCTTTCTATCCTTGGGCTCTCCTCCCCAGAGAGGGGTCATTATCCCAATCAAACACAGTTATGATGAACAGAGAATCCCTGACAGTCACCAGGGCTGTCACATAAATGACGGTGTAGTTATGTCTACCATACTGTTTATTCTTGATCTCTAGGATAAGTCTAGAACCAGTTACTTTTACTTAAATACTTTAACATTGGTGGTGGCATAATCTAAATCAGTGGTTGTCAAACTTTTGCCTATGGCAAAATCACCTGGAATCCTCTGATCCCCATTTTGATTTTCTTTTTATTTTTCTTTTATTGAGACAAGGTCTGGCTATGTTGCCTAGGTTAGAGCACAGTGGCTATTCACAGGTGCGACCATAGTGCACTGCAGCCTCAAACTTCTAGTCTCAAGCTATCCTCCCACCTCAGCCTCCCAAGTAGCTGGGACTGCACCATGCAGACCACAGCATCCAGCTCCGTCCCAAGTTTCTGATTTAGGTCTCTAAAGGGACCTGATAACTTGGGGTTCTATCAAGTTTCCAGGTGATGATGATGACGTTGGTCTAGGAGGCACACTTTGAGAACCACTAGCCTTGAGGTTAAGAGGACAAACTTCCGGATCAGACTCCATGGGCCGGACTCCCAATTCACCATTCGTTTGCTTCATGACCGTGGGCAAGTTACTCAATATCCTCATGCCTCAGTTTCTTTACATGTAAAATGAAGACAAAAATGGCACCTACTTTGGGAGGTTGTAGTGAGACTTAAATAAATTAATCCACATAAAGTGTGTATCCATAAAGCACTATATTCATGTTTTATCCGTAAAATACTTTATCCGCATTAAGTATAGATACAGCATACAGTAAACACTCAACAAATGTTTGCTATTGTTTTAATCAGCATATGTTTTGTGAGTAAGTGACTATGTAGCAAATGCATATTGAGTTCTAGATTTACAGATCTTTCACACTCACAAAGACTGAGTCTAGAATACACTGAAGTCTTTAATTTCTTGGTAACTGACATTTTCTTGTCTCCTCATACCTGTCCCTCTCATATGTCTCTAATGATAATCATTGAGCTAGGAAGCACAAGCAAATGCATTAGGAAAAAAGTATTATGATAGATATACAGCAAGTGTCAGCTCTTCTACAAAATTTTTTTCTAATGGAAAAACTAGCTTTATGGCAAAGTTTCAGTTTAATTTCCTAATTGTCCAGTGGGTGGCAGCACCACACGGGAATTTTGCACAAGTGTATTGAATTCCCATCCCCAATCTTCGGCACCAGGCTGGCTCTTTTGCACTTTAAACTCCATTTCCTGGGTCCCAGATGCTTTCTTGTCTTTGTTTAGACATTTAAAAAATTAATTATTTATTATTATTATTAGTTTTTTTTTTTGAGACAGAGTCTTGCTCTGTCGTCCAGGCTGGAGTGCAGTGGTGCGATCTCGGCTCACTGCAACCTCCGCCTCCCAGGTTCAAGCGATTGTCCTGCCTCAGCCTCCCTAGTAGCTGGGATTACAGACACCCACCACCATGCCCGGCTAATTTTTTGTATTTCTAGTAGGGACAGGGTTTCACCATGTTGGCCAGTCTCGTCTCAAACTCCTGACCTCAGGTGATCCACCTGCCTCAGCCTCCCAAAGTGTTGGGATTACAAGTGTGAGCCACTGTGCCTGGCCCTGAGTTAAATCTTCATACACATGTTAAATGATTTCCTTTGGATAAATTCTTATTACTATAATTGCTGGGTTAAAAGGTATACTTGGCTGGGTGCGGTGGCTCACAGCCTGTAACCAGGAGATGGAGGTTACAGTGAGCCAAGATTGCATCACTGCACTCCAACCCGTGCAACAGAGCAAGACTGTCTCAAACAACAACAACAACAAAAGGTATACTGTACTGTATATATCTTTAAAGCTTCTGACACCATTCTGAATTATATGGACAACACTGGAATATTATAATTTTAAAACTCTTTGTAGTTCTTATAAAATAAACATTTTGTTTAAAATGTTACATTAAAATGGTTTAAAATGGTAATTTATTGTTTTTCTTTCCTTTCATGGTATATTTAACTTTCTTAGTTTATAACTCGATTTTGTTTCAAGCTCTTTTTCTGTTGATTAAATGGAACAAAATTAAATGGAAGTAAGCTAAATAGAATTCAATTGCCAGTTTCTCTGTGCATATATCCTTCCAGAGGTTTTCTATGCATTTTCCACACAACACACATTTTTCCACTCCTTGCATTTTCATATTTGTTCTTTTATTTAAAAGAAAATCCTAGATTGACTTTAAAAAAAAAAAAAAAACTCTCCTTAACAAATGTCAGCTGTTACTTAAGCCTCATAATCATCACAATAACCCAATTTCTAAAGCAGTAATTTATTTTCATTGCCTTCTTTTCCTTTCTTGTCATTTGTCTTTTCCTCCAGATGGAATAGTAGAAAGTCAGATCCTGAGAGTCCTGGGAACCCTGAGGAACAAGTTTACTCACATCTGTGTCTTGTGAACGGGAAAGGCTGAACAAGAAGACCCTGGGCCGAGTTACAGAAGTCTCTCCTCTAACATCTGTTGGCAGAGGTAACAGGTAAGAAATGACAGATTTCTCCTTCTTGTAAGGAAGTCCCAGTCTCTCCTCCTTAACCCCAAGGTTCATTTTTCTCATTCATCTCTCCATTTCTATTCAACGATGATTTGCATGTAATTGACACTATACAAATGCTTGTTGAATGAACAAATTAGTACACTATTGAACAAACTATCAATGAATAAATGCTAACCCCAGAAATATCTGGTTACGCGTGTCTGAACAGTCCTAAAGACTTTCATCCATGTGACTGGCTTACTGTCAACAATCAATGACAGCGTAGCATAAATGCTAGTGGGATACCGAGGAGTCATGTCCTGTTAG